TCAATGCATATATTACCTCTTCGACAGCCTTCTCTTTCGATCGTTCCGAATTCTTCAAGGATTTGATTTCTGCAAGTGCCTCTCCCAATTCCCTATCTTTATCTGTAAATACAACACAATATCCACTCATCTCTCCATTCTCTTTTTAAAATCATCGCTGACACCAAAAACGGTGAATTTTTTTAATTAAAATCAATTTAAAATTCTAAGTTAACACAGAATTCAACTCCAAATTCTTTATAATTCTTCTTTCAAATTCTCTAGTGTCAGCAAATCCAAAAGAAAATCTAAAAAAATGAACAATGTAAGAACACAATTTCCTTTAATTGTCTCGAGAATACAAAGCATTTTCCGAGAAAATTAATGGTTGTTATTACCTCGAAGTAATTAACACAAAATGCAACTCCAAATTCATCATTATTCTGGTTTCAATTTCTCTAATATCACCAATTTCATAAAAATAAAATAAAAAACCACGCAAGTACGCTTAATTTTCTAGAGAAAAAACAAAACAAAGCATTTTCCCGAGAAAACAAAACTTTTCCGTGATAATAAATAAATGATCGCTGCTACTTTTGGTACCTCGAAGCTCGTTTTCGAGGCGGTTAAGTTCGACGCGAACGGGATCGGAGCCGTGTAAAAGAGTGATGATTTCATCGACATCAGAGCCGGCTCGAGAGAGAGCTGCAGTACTGTTCGAGTTGTTGTTCGCATTTGGCTTCACCGGCTTCCGTGTCTTGAACGAAGCCGACGTTGTTAGTTTCGGCTTGGCCAGTGGCTCGGCTTCTCCGTTGCTGATATTGTGATGGTGGTGGTGGTTACTTCCCATTATAGAAAAGAAAAGATCCGGTGTGGCTCAGCTCATGTAAAGATGGTGTTTTAGTGATTGGTGAAGTGAGAGAGAGAGAGAGAGAGAGAGAGAGAGGAGATTAAGGAGGGAGGGGGGTTTAGGCGGGGGGTTTAAATGAGAGGAGAGATGCTGATTATTAATTAATTAGAAAGCTGTTAAGACTATTGTTAAAACCTGGATATGCATGGCAAGTGGACCCGGGCTTTAGTTAAATAAATTAAAAAAAAAAACCTTGATTAACTCGATTAAAAATATGGGATGATTCAGGCCTGATACAATTATTAATTTATTGACTTTTTTCTGAAATTTCTTTTTTATTAAGATACTAATTTCTTGATACATGCATGGAGAGTCTATCGTTTAAGATTTTTATAATATTTTTAATTTTCAATAAATTATTTAGACTTGGTTATAAATGAATAATTTTTCATAAATTATTTAGAGCTATTTCCAAGTGAATAAAATTTGAATAGTTACTAAATAAACATGTTTGATTTTCAAGTATTTCTATATAAATTGTGATAATTATGATAAATTAGTTCTTGAGAATTTCGAACTATGTAATATAGTTTTTAGCTGAAATTAAGTAAGGGTTGTGAATATAATTGAATTAAATTTAAATTTCATGATAACATCACAAAACATTTCCCGATGACAGAAAAATTTGTTATATAGCCATCGTAAAATAAACCCCAACCAACTAGCAATTCAATTTTCACCGACCACTATTACACAAATTAACACTTCATTTATAGGATCACAGAGCATCTTGTGATAGTTGAGGGACCTGAATTAAACATCAATTGGAACCCGGCGGAAATATTTTTTTTGTTTAAATTTAATTGTTTTATGTTTTTATGTAATTTTAATGTATTAATATCAAAAATAATTTTAAAAATAAAAAAATATTATTTTAAATATATTTTTAAATAAAAAATACTTTAAAAATAACAACTACTCATTCTTAAACAACTTTTAATTAATAGAGACATTATTTATGGTTTTTTTTAATAATTAGTTCTTTTGTTTTAAGTTATTAAACTCAAACTAATTTATAAGTTTACCATTCAGCTCAAAACTTAAAATTTGAATTAATCAGATTAACTTGAATTAATTTACAAAAATGAGGTTGATTTAAGATTTTTCAAACTATTAGATTAACTTGAATTAATTTACATTGATGTTACAAAAATGATGAGGTTGATTTAAGATTTTTCAAACTAAAAACAAAATAATTAGATTATAAATTACTCTGTTGAACTTATACAGATTAACATTAATAGGATATAATTAGATTAACGGGTTAATGTAAGAACCAGGCCTGGGGCCAGGCTTATCGACTTGAATGTGGTGTCATGTTATGCAACTCCAATGATTAAAAGCAATAATTTGATCTGCTTACAATGTATTTGCCACATAAGAGTCACATGAACTTGATTAAGTCGTAACGAATCACTCGATCAAGAAGCGAGACAAATGATTTTCAACTGAGAAATTATTAATTTAAAAAGACAAAGTGTCTGTATCATAAGCCATGATTAATAATAATAACAATAATAATATATAATAAAAAAAAACAATAATAATATATAATTAGATAGACACCGTGTTACTCTCCCCTACTCCTACCCAAATCCAACGGTTGGCATTCATTTTGGTTAATTACAACGGTCAAAAGTAACTGATCCACTGCCAGACGACAGCCACTGCAATTTACCGTTGAAGGGGGACATGAAAGTACTCATTGCCTCCACCAAAAAGCAAGGCAAAGTGCCTTTTCTTTTTTCTTTGCAGAAAAAAAAAATGATGTTTTCAGGCTGTAATATTAACACGATGTTTTGAAAAAAAAGAAAAGTAAAACGAGGTTTCGAGATTATAAAATTATTATAAAAATTATTTTTACAAGGAGCATAACCAAATTAATATATGTATATTAAAGCTGAAACATGAACAAATAATTAATATGAAAATGAGCTTTCAAACTGCACTTAAGAAGTCACGCATGCATGCATAACTAGATATTTGAATCAATAAACAATAATTTAGTGATGCTTATGGGGCTACTTCTATTTTTATTTTTAGGTTTTAATAACATAGTTGTTTTTAGTTATGAGTTTTGCTGGTTAATTTTTTTCCAAACACATTATTTACAATTGAAATCTTGGTAAAATAATTTTTTTCTATTTTTTTTTAAAATGCAAGTCCCAAATAATAACATGAAATGCAAAACTCACCTAAATTATTATGACCCAACGTATAGCGAATGAAATAATCAGAGTTTATTCCTCAACCGTTCCAAGTTAAGGGGAAATTGAAAAACAAAATCTAGTTATAGCTAGTTGACTTTATGTAGAATCGGACTTGAAAAATATAATCATCAAATTTATATTTTACAAAAAAAAAACACTACCTAAATATGTTCAAACTTCTTTTGAAATTCAAGTTTTTAATACAAATTCTGTACCATATATGAATTAATATAGTATTTTGCATTATGATGATAGTGGTTATTTTAAAATATTTTTATTTAGAAACACTTTAAATTTTGTTTTTTAAAAAATTAATTCTTTTAAAAAACGCAGCACACTCGGCTCTGAATCCTCGGGCTAACCTTGTTCTCCGAATCCAGAGAGGCAATGAAGCTGTGATCAACGATGAAAGAATTTGTGGGTACAGACAGAGAAGGAAGCTGTGACAAGGACACGTACAGACAGAGAAATACGCACAGATGGTGAGATATCGTAGAAGGAAGTGTTTGGGCACACCAAATGGGACAAACGCACATGCGAGTAGGAAAGCGTAGAGAGCACGTGACAAAGAATGGATCTAACCATCTGCTTGAGCCCCACTTATCTCCATTATTTTTTATTTGTTTTTGTAAAGTTTTCAATTATTTTTATTGTTTTAATTAAAAAGTCGCCATTGCCATACACTGTTGGAATACCCGCACGAACGTGTTTATTTATTTTTTTATATATTTCGTTTCCCACAATAATGGCAACTATATATATATATATGGCAACTTTGAAAACATTATTTTGATCCTTTTAATGCGGTGCACCGTGTTGTTGTTAATAACTTAATATATGGGTTGTATGTGTTTTAAGTATTCGTTAAATGTGTGTTTTAATAACATGGTTAAGATTTCCAACCATGTTTTTTAAATATATTTCCAACCATAATTTGACCTCAATATCAAATAAATTTTATCCCTCGAACATAAACAAAAATCGAATCTTGTTTCGAAATATAGTGATATCATATACTATTAAACATCAGTTTGATTGATGTAACTTTTGAACTGGTACTTTTGATTTTAAGTATAATTAAAAATAATAATTCAGTAGTTATTTTTTATAAATAACTTATGATAAAAATAAATTATAAATAACTTTAAATTATAAATATATTTGATTAAAATAAATCAAAATTTTTTTTTAAAATATATATAATAAGAGTTATAATTCATTAGAAAGTAAAACATCTAAATTTAAACAGTGGGTCTATTGGAAGTGCGATAACTTCCATTTTTAGATGTTTTTTAAAAGTATATTTATCTTGGAAAAATATTAAATTAATATTTTTTTTAATGATTTTGATATATTAATATTCAATTTATTTAAAAAATAAATCATTTTACTATATTTTCAAACCAAAAACATTTAAAAAATACCTTATATCATAATACCAAATACGCACATGGTCACAAAAACCCATCCTTCTCACCGAAATAAACGTTGAATGTCACAAAATCAACTGCATTGTTAGAGAAAATAAATAAATACATATCAACTGGTTTCTTTGACATTGAGGTTGAACTTGCTTTTTATTAAAACTTAAAAAACTTTTTAACTTCAATTTTTTTTTTGTGTTTTTGGATTGTTTTTATATAATAATATCAAAAATAAATTTAAAAAAAATAAAAAAAATATTTTAACACATTTCCAAACAAAAAATACTTTGAAAAACAATCTCTACCACACTTTCAAATTATAAACTGATAGCTATAACCTATGTTCCTTTCACAAAGTGATGTTTAAATTTAAAGGGACTTTCAGTTGGAAGTTTGCATCACTGACGATCCTTGTAACACTAGCATTATCATGGCATGGCTAACAGCTAAAGAACATGCAACTAATTGAAACTTGCAAGGAGGAAAATCTATCATTTTCATTAACATGTAACTAGATAACATGTCATCAGGTGGACCTAGCTATGGTGCAAGATGTATTTAGCAAGAAAAAAGCTACATGGGAGTAAGAATAGAATTGCTAAGCCTAACATAAATCTCCCAATCAAACCTCAGAGGCTTCATGCTGATTTCTCAATCACGTTTCTCCATTAAAATCTCTCTAATACAAAAATGAATAGGTGCTACTTTATGCTCCAATCAAGGAGTTTTATGCAAGACTTGATCTTTTCTTCTTCTTTTCTCGCATGTTTTGATGGGAGAAAAAATTAGGTGAACATCATCAAATGTCACACATCAATTACAAAACCAACCAAATGTCTAACCTCAAAGACCCATCTCTGTTCATCTGGAACCCTTTGTTAAGGCATCAGCTTGACGCTCCTGACGGCGACGTTCTCTCTAAAACACCAAATGCAAGACATGCAAAAACAATAAGAGCGACAATAATCACCAAATATGAAGTTCAACATGTCAAAGGAGCCATGTTTGTTCATTATTCCTTTAATACGTCAAAAACTCACCAAGATTAACAACGCTATCATGGCAACTAATATGGTAAAATTAAACTAAAAGTATCTCTTCACAAAGGAAATATTGTTTATGAGAGAAGTTTTGCTAAAGTTTGTCATTCCTGAAAACACTCTGGGTGCCAGTGTGCATCTGCTACTGATTTAAGGATGTCTCCTCTCTGATACTCCATGTTCAATCAAGACCCATCAATACACACTCAGCATTTTACTATGTTTGATTCAATAATTCATGTAATAAATCATTCTAACATCCAGGCTTCAATCTTATACCGATTTATCAATTAATGTGACGATACTTAAACCCTATTCTCTCCTTGAAAAAAAAAAACACATTTCTAGTAACCAAAAAGTGGGAACGAAGATTACAAACATACCCTTCTTTCCCAGTAAGGAAGGAAGCAAACAAAATCATAGACTGGAGTAATGGTTGATACCAAGATCACATTGAGTCCAGTGAACACCAGCAGTGCAGTCATCGGCCGTGTTCTATGCGGCATTTTCCCTTCAAGTCAAGATTCTTTATCTGCAAACATTAAGTTATTGCTGACATTTTGAAATTTAATAACTAAATTAAATCTTAATAAGCTCAATAATAGCCAGGCTGTTTCTCCCTCGTTGAAAACTTTCCCTACTCCCCAGCAAATCAAACTAAAATCATAAGCAAGCACAAATCCACCTCAAAGCTTCATCTTTTTTTTAATACTGTTCTGTTCTAAATTCCAATTATTCAGAATAAATCCATCATATTTATACAAAAAAACCTAAATTAATCAATTAAAGGTAATAACGATCAAAACAGGCCCATCAAGCACGGATCTTTTTTCTTTTCTTCTTTTTTGGAAGCAGAAATGCCATCGAAGGCAGTCTATATTAATTCCTATTTGCCAATTTCCACAACAACTCATAAGGAAAAAAATAAGCATCAAATATTGCATTTTCTTTTTTTCTCTTTTCATTTTCTCAGCAATCAAACATAAATAAGAAATAAAGGCACTAGACAAAGTGAGAAGAGAGAAAAGCCATACCTATTATACAAGATAGCTCCACCGAAAACCAGAAATTTGATTAGAAAGACAGTTCCTTTGTGACCCAAAACCTAGGAGATTGAGAAAAAGCTCTGCTCTCTTTCAAAGCCTGATTCTTTTTGTGTTCGACCGAGTTACCGCGGTGTTGTTTGTTGCAGAGTTGGATGAAGGGGGAAGCTTATGATAGAGCCATTAACGGGCCTTATTGTCAAAGGGCTTTAGCCCATTTAATACCCAAATGCTTCGGTTTCTGGCCCAAAAGGATAACTGCCCAGACACTCATAATTTGTGAATAAAAAAAGTGATTTAATTTAAAAATAATTGGTAATTTCTCGTTAAATAATGTTATATGTACTTAGTTCTAATTAAATAAATTTCACTAAATAGTATAAATTTATTTCATTATTTTTTTTGTATCATTAATATTCATGATTTAGAAAATTTCTTTATATTGTAAACATATATATTTTAAAAGTGAGATTATCTCTGGATCCACGTTTCATAACTCAGAAAATTTTCCATGTCAAAACATTAAATATATTGGTTTTAATAGTATAATTATTTTCTAATTAGTATTAGTTTTCGTATATAAAACTAAAATTGGTTTTGATTAGGATTTAATTAGGCTAAAAATTTAAAAAGAAAACACAAATAGTATTGAAATATGTCTTCCAAAATCACTTCTCGGAAATATTATGTTTTGAAATGAGTGGATGCCATAAATTAAATAGCTAATTCTTATAACAGTTCATATTAAAAAAAATTATTTTGATAAGATTAAAAAATACTTGAATAATATATTCCATGTGGTACGAAAAAAAATCACAGCTACAGTTAATTATGCCAGTGCATTTAGACCTAATTTTTTTTATCAGAAAATTTTATAGTGCGAATAGTAATTTCATAGGCTCACTTCCAAAAGGAGAGATTCAATACCTATAATCTTTCAATAAAATCTGCATTCCTCTTGCTATGTTGGGTGTATATATTGGTTTTTCTAACGGTTGTTGAACTTGATCCGGGGTGATTTAGTATAAGATTAAATTAATTTAATTTTTTTAAATTAAAATAATATTGCTTAAAAAAATAAAAAAGTCATTGAATTTTAACCGAATTTATCTTATCATAAATTAAATTAAATTTTTAACTGGATCATGTTAAATTAACTCCTCTATATTTTTTATAAATCCGAGTCCAAGTTGGGTTCTAAGTTAATATTGTGCTGGTCAAATAAAATTTAATGGTAATGATTTTTTTAATATGTGTTTAAAAGTCACGCATAATTGGTATATTTGGAAAGTTTCTCTCATTTAATATAATTGATAGATTTATTTCTATAATTGTATAAAAATCACATCGGTAATTCAATATTACTAGTATTGAAATGATTTAACTTGTATCCTTTGAGCATATGAGAAAAGACCCTCTCTCCAAAAGGTTTATTAAATCAGTTTTTTTAAATAATATTAACCGCTCGTAAAAAATTTATTATTTGAGATAATTTTAATAGAAGTATAACATTATTTGTTTATGCACGCTTACGCTCATATTATTAGTGGCCCTATTCTTTAATAGTCATGATATTATTTAAATAGGTGATTTATGTTACATTGCAGGTTAATTTAATTTTTTAATTAAAGTAAAAAAAAATCAATGCTAAAAAAATGTATACATTTCTAAAAAAAAAAAATCTAAGACTTGAGAATACTAGATTTAATGAGCTTGCCTAATCCAACAACATGAATAAACTAATAATTTTTTTTTTACAATAATCAACTAAAATATGAAGGTTTGCCAACACCATGAAAAAATATCTTCTAAATATATTTATAAAAAATATTTATAATTTTATTTTATAATGAAGCACAAATCAAATGAGAATGTAATAATATCATAGAAAATAAAATAAAAACAATAATTTAAAAAGGTTAAAAAACCTCAACCCAAGCCCACCCATATTAGCATATCAAATCTAAGATTTAGTTGTGATATTGGGGTAACTCTATTAACTTAAATTATGAAACTTAATTATTAAATAACTTATTGTTGAAGGGAGAAGTTGTAAAAAAATCATTTTAAAAAAAGTAATAAAAAAATTAAACCAACTCATGATAACCTGCTAACCATGTGATTAAGGGAATAAAATTAAGATAACCCTATAAAAAAAACTGAAAAAAAAAGCACGAAGAACAATTATCAATCAATCAATTGTTGAATGATGAACGAAAAAAAACTAAAAAAAACCAAAGTTAACTCATGCTAACTTTTAAGACTCGTGACTTTAGTCATAAGCTATGTGATTAACCCTATACAAGAGAAACTCTAAAAAATCACAAGCAAAATTATAATTAATCAAATATTAAGTTATGAAATAGAAGAAAAAAATACAATAAAATAATGATAAAAAAGTAGTAATAAAAAGAATGGAGACTAAATTGAATATAAAAAAAATTAAAATGTAATGTTGAGAGATGGAATTAAAAACAAATTCAATTAAAAAAAGGATTCAAATAAACAAGCATCATTTAAAATAATAAAAATCAAATTTAATTAAAAAAATAAATAAAACCAAATAATAAATGATGAAATTAAAAAAAAATAATAAAAAATAAAACAAATAACAATTAAAATGACGAAGATCAAATTAGATACAAAAAATAAATTATATGACATCTTTATATTTTGAAAAGTCAGCACAAAATTTGAGAAAAAAAAAGAGAAAGAAAGAAAGAAAAAAACAAAGTTCACTAAAACCCATCCGATGCATTGCTGTTCGCATCATTATTAGAAAGAGGGTATTAGAAAGCTTTAAAGGTTAGCGTTGAAGGTAATGTTTGGCCACTAGAAGACACCAAACTAACCGCTTGAAGAGCACAAGCTTTTCATGCCCATCAACTATTTAAAAAACAATATATATTTTATATTTATTAAAATATTAAATTGCTTTTTAACCAATTTAATTATAACTAAAAAATTCAAAGTAAAAATATTAAAAACCCTCTTATTGCCAACTAAAGAATTCTTACATCAAAAAGTAATTTAATTTAATTGTTTTACTACGTGTAAACAAGTAAAAATACAAAAAAGCTTTAGACACCAACTTAATAAATCTTATTTTTAAAAATAATTTAATCATTTTACTATACATTTAAAAAATAAAAATACTAAACTAAACCATCCTCAATCTATCAATATAATAATAATGAACAAACCCCCCAAAAAAAACCCAACCATGCTATCCTGAGAGCTTTCCGAGTGCTTTCTTTTTGGCATTCGAGTGAGAACTTATATTCTACTTTTTAAGAAGCCAATAGAAGGAGAGTATCAAGTTTCTGCCATTTGAATTCCTTGCGAAACCTTCATGTCAGATTGTCAGGAGGGACTTCTACCTTGATTTCACGTGTATTTGTTTTCGAGAGGGTGCAAAGAACATTTAAAAGATTCAAGGACCGGTCCACATAAAACACAAGCTGCAAGCACTGTTTACGTGCAATGGGAAAAATCTCCACAGCTCAGAAAGAAACTATAATTCTAATTTAATTTGATTTCTGGAAAACAAATTGAGAACTGTAACCTATGTTACATATGACACTCCTATTTCCCATCATCAGTTCTAATAAACACCAAACATTATCGAATTATTGCCACTAGATGTTTTATAACAAGAAGACAAGCATACATCTGTGTGAGCAAACCTGGCGTTACAACTGCACATGAAACCTATAATTACACCAACTATGGCCGCTATTTGTTTTACAGCAAGAAGATAAGCATACATCTGTGTGAGCAAATCTGGCGTTACAACTGTGCACATGAAACCAATAATTACACCAATTACGACCTAACCACCGCACCACAATTACCACCAATGAGCATGACTAAGACCACCAGCAGCAGTCCACCCAATGGCATGATGAGAACTGAAGGCCAAGTAGGAGGGTGGTGAAGTGGTAGATATTCAAGTTAATTTTGTTGGGGGGCAACATGCTGCTACTCATTCCTGTGGCCGCGCCAACCAGAGAGAACTAAGGGCTCGTAGCCTTGAGAAATAGTCATGTATAGCTAGAAGTGCACGGGCTGATTGCCGAGTTGTCAATATACGGTGCATTTGTTCTAGTGTTTGCTGCCTCAGATTATCAGCCTGAGAATAACCAAAGCAAAAAATAACTATAAGCAATGAAATGCAATAAGATAATTATATTCAAAATGAATATGAATGAAGCGACCCCAATGGTGGTTTGAGTACAACGTGTAAAGCAGCCTAGGAAGTACAACGTGTAGAGCAGCCTAGGCAAAACATGAGCAACATTGCAACTATAAAAATGACAAGGATTGTATGACAGATTTTATTTATTACCTCACGAAGGAATCCCTCTAGAGTTCCTAGCTTTCCCATGGCCATGGCCATTTGACCCATATAGTTTGCCACATTCCCAGATGAACCTGATGAGCCAGGGTTGCCATTAGCCAAGGTTTCTGCCAGTGATTGCTGCAGCGCTTCCATCCCTTGTGAGAGAGCATCTTCTGCCTGCTGAGAAGATTGTTGCAAGTTGTAAATGCCCATTAGCTGTTGCTCAGTCAGAGGCTCCAGTTGATTCTCAAGAAGCTGCACCAGTTTCACCAAATTCCATTCAGTTCACATAATAAACCACATGATCACCACCTTTTTTGTGTGTTAAAATTACTAAAGAACATCCAAGAAGGGTATGATATGTTTGGATTTTGAGAAATGGTGTAGAGTGGAATTTCCTGTCGCTACGTTTACCATTTCTTCACACAATCTCATCACCGGGGCTGTACATAAAAGAAGGGAGGAGAGTTTTCACTCATCATACAAGACAATGGTAAAATCAAGAATTCCAATATGAGATGCACCATTCTCATAGCTAGAATACACAAGTCTAATAGCAAAATATAGTTAACAAGCCACATCTTAGCACAGCCAGAAAAAGAAACTGGAGAAAATAAAGCAAAGACCATGGCAAGACAGCACCCACCTTGAGGAGTTCAGATGAGCGAAAGCCACCTATCCACATGAAACAACGCTCTGCTGGTGTCTTCCACATCCCTGATAGGATGTGGAAAACATCAGCTTTTGCAGCAGTGCCTTTCAGCCTGAAAACATCACTGAAGTGTGAAGCAACATTGTCGACAATAGTACGAAGTTCAGCATCTCCTGCATGCGAATTGACTGCAGCCCTCAGCTCACTTATTTGCCTGTTATGTTCTTCTAGCCACCTTGCATACTCTGCATCAAATGCCAAGGCACCTGTAGAACAATGTGATCAACAGGATTTGTATTAAAGATATACAGTACCAAGACTGTTTCTACCATTGTATATCTGTGCAGTAGAATAAATTGGAATCAGAAGCACCCAGCAATGAAGACAGGACACGTATATGAATCACAATAGAATAATAATGGAGAGAATGCAAGAGTAAAGCTCCAACAATATCCAAATCACACAAGAAGATTGTGGCTAAAGAATCAAAAGGATGCTCACGCCCAACCTCCAGCTGGCAGGCCAAACTATATCCAACTCCCACAGCACAAGGCGTTTAATTTGTAATTTGTGACAATAACTACACAAAAGCATCCCATAAAGATTGTCATGAGCACTAAACAAACAACCCAAAGCTGTTGAAGCAGGAGGAAAGTGTGATGATGAGATGGCACTTATGATTCGTGGAATGCAATTCTATGTGAAACATTGTTTACAGTAGACATCCATTCATAAACAACAAATATAGGGGACAGCGATTGGAATACAACACTTCTCTCACACAAAGCATATTTCTTCTGAATTTCAGAATACTGGGCATCTCCAAGGAAAATGTTAATTGCTTGTGTTTTATGGTCAGCAATCAGATCTCATCATGAAAAGTCCTCCAACCTTTTCAAGTAACAAATTTAAGAAGCACCACAATCAGGGCTACAGTTTATCCCATACAAAAGCCGGACACTGTTTATTGCAACCATGGAGCAAATTTGTCAACCCTAATGTCATTGTAGAAATCAGTAACTCAACACAATAACATAATGCTCACTTCCTCCAACTTTTCCAAGTAGCAAATATAACAAGCACCACAATGAGGGCTACAACTTATTCCATACAAATGCTGGACACCATTTATTGCAACCATGGAGCAAATTTGTCAATCCTAGTGTCATAGTAGAAATCAGTATCTCAACACACTAGTGTAATGCTCACTTGATTAACCACAACATATTGAAAACAAACCATCTTTACTATGATCAATTCTGCATCTCCATGCAAAATACAAATCAAACAAATGTGAGGTAACTATGTACCATTTCCACTCATTGAATGGGTTTGGTCTCCTGAGCTTGAAATGAAAATTCCCTGCAGTCAAGAAATTTAAATACAAAATATAAGACATAATAGGTAAGCCTGCCAAAATAAGACAGAAAAGGAAAACAATAAAAAAAAAAAACCTGTTGCCGGGCTTTCTGGAGCTCTTGCTCCAATTGAGTCAGCTTCAGCCGGCTGCTCTCCAGTTGTTGTACATATGCCTGTAAAGGAGAAAAGAAAGACAACAAATTCCATGAAGAATTCATAGAACTGTTTAAATTGAAACTCATAACAAATATAGACCTATCCTTCGCACTCACAGCTTTCCTAAATAATAGCAAAGGATTGTGGGAAAAGACAACAAAAGATCACACAGGACATACTTTTTTCCTTAATCGGCTTTTTCTGGCAGCTTCACGATTTTGAGCAAGCCTTCTTAAAGTCTGCATGACAATAATTAAAAGAAAAAAAATGAATAAGTCATAATGTTGGGTGGTGGTTTTGTAAATAAAACCAGCTGCATATATGCAACCTTCTGATCCCCTGCTTTTTCCTTTGACTTGTCACTGGAATCGGATCCTGCTATTGCAGCTAATTGTCCTCTCTCAAACTGCAAAGGAAATTACTAAATTGTCACCCACAACAGACCAACAGCCTACATTCTATCAGGAAACACAATTTCCTTTTCACGAGAAGGAAACATTTAGAGACAGAGAGGGAGAGAGAAAGGAGTGAGATGCATAGATCAATGAACTTTTGCAAAACTGAGAATTCGCTGCATGGCAAAGTAAGAGACATCACCCTTTGATTTTTTTCATCTGTGTCATCTGTTGAGGTATCAGTTCTAGGACTGGCTTCTGCCATATTGGTCTCTCCCCAATTCTCAGGATGGTTGCTGTGTGTAGAAACTGGATTTACTTGCACTTCTTTTTGCAATGGTAATGTCTGGGACCCCACAATGGCAGCTGATAGATTTATATCTGAGGATGCAAGGGACTGAATTCCAAGATATGAGGAAAGGGAAAAAATCTCCATTAACTTCAACACCATCATCGATATAAAAGTCAAAGAAACGTGGAGGGAAGATGAAGGCTCACCTTATTTAAAGTGCCAAACTGGACATCAGCACCTATTGCCTGGCTGCTAGATTTTAATTGATTAAACATAGAATCTGAAAGACAATAAATGATTAAGGATACAAGGTGCATAAAACTACATCAATATAAAAAAAAAATTTGATAGATCAAGAACATCATCACATGGTAGTGAACTATATCAATATCATAAAACCATGCTCAATGGATCTTGCTGCAAACTGAAATCATCTGGTTTGCAATCTACCTACAACATCATGCAAAGATGTGTTGACGATGTCTCATCTAGAAGATAACCAAATAAAAGATTAATGCTTTAAGTAATGTAGTGAAGAAAAGATGTTATAGAGAAAATGGACCCATGTTGAGAACACTATCCAGTACTAGAAATCCATTCTAGAAGATGATGTCTAAGCAACTGACAGATTGACTGTAAGCCCAAATGGAAGACCGGGGATAACAATGAAGTGCCTCCTGAGCTACAGTAGTTGATAAAAAGGTATAAACAGCAATATCTTATGCATGATTTAGTGAAATTAGATATGCCATGATACAAGGTAAAATGGTTAACAGAAACCAAAGATGTGCAAACAAAATTAAACATCTAAGGATCGTCAATACAGAGAAGGAAAGAAAGCTGCTTCTGACAGAAGTCAAGATTTCAACTACATACTTCTGCTAAGATCAACGGCATCATCTATGCGAAACCCAAGAGATTGCTCAAATGTGGCAAAGTCTGAAACTCGAGAAGGATGAATGTTATTTGCTTCTGTGCCACTGTAACATATAACATCAAAACCATGAGTACCAAGAATAACTATACAGAATGCAAGGCAAAGCTGTCCCAAAAAATTTAGCCTCGGCAGAATTTATAGACAGCGACACCTCAAGTAAACCTTTCTAATCTAACCAACACACTGTAAATTCTAAAGAACATAACTCCATAAACCTAAATAATCAAAGATGAAAGTAATCAACCACATGAAGAAAAAAATGGAGGGTAAAAAATATAATAATCCAGAAAAAGAAAGGTAAGAAAAGAGGAGTCACCAAAAGATACTTCACCTACTAAATACCCCCATCATCCCTGGAAAAAAAGAAGAAAAGGAAGATGTTCCATCACGTAAATGTTTCTTTCTGAACTTTTGAGACTTAAAACATGTTTCCCTTGCTCTGTACAATGGTGAAATATCAGGCTTCAACCACAAGGATGCATGCTCAAGTCAACCACAAAAACACTAAAAGTGTAGAATACTCTCCAAAATTCCTCCCTTCTAGGACCAGAATTCAGTGGAACATGTAGCCACTTTAAAATATGATGTTTGAAGACCATACCACAGTTGCAAATATCTAATACAATTGCAGGGCTTCACCAGTGATGATGCAATGGGGCCAAATTTAACTCCTTCGCAAACCTTTCCAATATCAACAAAACAGCCTCACAATACCTATACTATCAAACAGAACCTCACACAATTATATAAACACACACCTCATGCCATTGTTTACAATCTTTTTTAAAGAGAACAATAGTCACTCCAAGTCTCACAACATCATCTAAGAGCATCAACGGGCTACCTTAGGTTCCATTAAATGTTCAAAACATGTGCATATAATATGATGCAGTTAGTAAATTAAAAGGAAAAAAATTTAAGACTTGAGTTTCTTCTCACAATTTTTTTCCGGGGAACCAATAAAACAATAAAATGTTCCACATTTAATCTTTCAACTGCAAACAAATGATTTCTTGTGAATTAGCAGGAAGCAATTTCAACTGCAGACAATGGTTTGTCGCCAATTAGCAGGAAGCTATCACTCAAATTACAGTCTATATTACTTCACAAGAGTAATCACAACAACGCAGAAACAGCAGCCAATCATGATAAAATCCAAACTTACAATAAAATCATAGAAATGAAAGTATAATTTAGCCAGATAACTTATAATCACAACAGGAAGAATTACTTGTGCAATTCAAACTGATAAAGAAAAAATTGAACAGAAAACAACTCACATGGGATTAGAAGTGGATAGCTGAGGTACATAGCTTGGCATCTCGGTCACAGCTTTATTATTATTATTATTATTGTTATTATGCGTTCTACTCCCCATGAATCATCATCAACACAACCACCACCACCACAAACACCAATCTTTTGAAAGAACCAAACAGACCCTTCTCAAAATTAACCAAACCCAGAATCCAAACACTTCTACACAAAAATAAAAGAAAAGATAATCCTTCAATTACACGTAAAGCACCAACCTTTACCAGGCACTCAAGACCAGACCAAGAAAACAACACCCCTCTATCCAAACACAACCCAGGACGGGAAATTCAAACTCAAACACAAAACAGCATCTGTGAGACAGCAAGGTTGTTCTCTACTCACAAAGCTACAAGCACCAAAAATTGGAAAAACAAAGTAAAGCCTTAAACTTTATTCGAGCAAGAAAAAAAACCAAAACAAGAAAAATAATTATCAGTGCTGAAAAACTGAATTAAGACTAATTAAGCAAAACCCAGATGGTGGAATAAAGAGACGAGTTCAAAGAAAAACCCTAACCAGAAACACAGTCTTGTAGAAGATAAATACTCCGAACTTTTTTGACTATTTTTTTAATTGTACAGAGCATATATATACCATACAAAATAGTATATACAGAAAATATATATATCTATATTAAAAGGTCGCTCCGTGCTCTGTGCAATGAACCCTTGGTTCTTTCTTTCTCTCACTCTCTGTATTAATAGAGCAAACAATTTTTTGTCTTCAAAGACTCAACCTTTGAATTTTAAGTTCTTTATTTATTTATATATATTTTTATTATTTACCACCTTTGGCAAGGGATAGTGGGGGAAACGTGACGTTCGGATTATTCCAATCTGCCCCTTCTGTCTTCTTCTATATTTACTGTTGTACTGTCAATACTTTCTTTTTCTTGCTTTGATTTTTTGAAGCTCCTTTTCATTCCATTGTTCTTGGTATTCTTTAAGAGTTTTGAAAACAATAAGAATAAAATTGATATATTTTTTTTATTTTAAAAGCATAAAAATTTATTTTAAAATTATCATAAATAAATTTGTTTTTTTTACAGATATATTTTTATATATTATATATATGTTTTTCTCTTGGACATTAACAAAATGCAATCTAAGGAATCTTAAAGATTATGCATATGAAAAACTATTCATTTAAAACGAAAAATAAAAAAATGTGTAATTGTTTTCTATAAATTAAGTTGGATTTGTTTGGAATCATACAAGAATCATCGTTGCAAAAATAAATGAAGTGGGCATTGAATCTTTGTCCTAATTTAGTAAAGAGCACGAAATCTAATTCCTTTTTTTTTTTTTTTTTTCTGTAACTCTTTGGGATACCACAAAAGATTCTTAATTTAGCGATAGTCTTTTTTCCATGATCCCGTGAATATGTCTGATTTTATCTATGATTAATAAAAATCATGAACCAAAAGGGTTTAACTGTAATTTACTAATATTCTCCAGACAGCCAGGTCAACTTTCAGGGGTTGGACAAGGATCCAGAATGCGGTGACTTTAGAACAAGCAGAACAGCAACGAAACATCATGGCAAGCTTCTCATCTTCATATTTTTAATAATTGTAATCGTGCTTATTAAATTCAATTTGAGGGGTTGATTTCTGGGCTATGTTTTTTTAAAATTATTTTAAAAAATTAATTCAATTAAATTTAAATAATTCTCTTCTACCAGGCTAATCAATGAGCTAGACGAGATTAACCATCTAGGTGGTGGCTAAGTGGTAAGGACTTGGGATCAAGAGGTTTGCTCCCTCTGTGGTCTCAGGTTCGAGTCCTTGGTTGCTCATATGATGGCCACTGGAGGCTTACATGGTCGTTAACTTCAGGGCCCGTGGGATTAGTCGTGGTGCGCGCAAGCTGGCCCAGACACCCACGTTAATCTAAAAAAAAAAAATGAGCTAGACGAGATTCGATATAATTAACTTCAATAATTTATTAGGAGAAGTCGATACAATTAACTTCAATAATTTATTAGGAGAAGTTGTTCAAAATAACCTTGTTTGATTTTTTTTTATCCAAACAACACTATTCAAAGTTCTTTCTTCTAATTAAAACAAAACTGTTTTGAAATAAATCTAAATTAACTTTATAAACCCATGAAGGTCATTGACAAACGGTGCCTAACACAGCTGGTACAAAAGAAAAGAAGCAACAAAGAACACGTTTAACTTTTGAAATCTGGCTCAAGTACTTTTCAATTTACTCTCTACCTCGTCATCTTACAGTGCTCTAGTCCCTTTAGAAAAGAAATATTTTCTACATATTTGAATGAGTTTTTTATGATCTAGTGATCGAAACATCCAGATTTAGTCTACCAAAACTGATCCAACAATGCCCTAAATGTTAAAAAAACATAAAAAAGAAAGGAGT